TTGTACAAATACTAATCCTCCTGTTGCTCCTCTTCTATGCTGAACTTCAACCAGCTGAGCCATATAAGTTTTATCAAGTACAGCCTCTCCAACTGAACTTGGATCAATTTGCACTCCTGCATCAAGTGTATGTAATAATTTACTCATTGAAGAAACAGGTATTCCAAAGCTTTGAATAAAAAGAACCAACTGTTGTGGTTCTAAATCTTTCAAAGCTGCATCCACTAATCGTGGTACATTACTTCTAATCATACGTAATTTCAACCAATCTGGAATGAGCAATGCTTCCTCACTTGTATCTACAAGAAAGGCTTTAGGTGGATCTGCGTTTAAAGGGAACCACGTTTCCAATAAATTAGCAAATAGTTCATCATCATCAGATGAATCATAGGTTAACAGTATTATCATAGCATGAACTACCAAAATATGCATGGTACATTCTTCTCCACTGCTCCATTGAACAAGAATTTGATCTTGACTCTCAGACCATGTATATCCTTCTCCTCTAGGAGCTCTAGCCTTTTCTAGATAATTGCAAAATATTGCCATAAATGCATGTAATGTCTGTTTAGTTTGGTGATTATCACTTTCAGGTTGTGGAAGAATTGCTGCAATAATTGTACTACGTTCAACCACTAATTGTGAAATTTCATTTGCTAAATCAGTTAAATCAGGTAGATCATCTTCAGTAGTATGTGCAGCAAGATATGATATGTAAGCATGTACAAGATCAGGATTATTTTCTACTTGACAGGCACCACGAAGAGCTGTAGATACTAAGGAACGTACTGATACAAAATGGGGTATAGATGGTAACTTACGTAACAACCAAATTTCTCTAAAATAAAATTATTTTCTTTCAAATAAGTGTAATAAAATGAATTATTATATATTATACAAGTTAAATATATACAGACAACTTACCTATCAACTTCAATATCCATTTCCATACTTTCCTCTTCAAGTGGTATTGAATCTAGAACCATCTTTAATCCAGTAATAGCTTGGAGGCGGCTACTGCTTTGTTGACTACTTAATCTTCTCAAAAAATACTCCAAAACTTCATAGGCATGTTGTTGATCTTGATCCGGATCAGTTAATAAAGTTTGAAGATGAGCTAATAATTGTTGTTGTCTAGGCTGTTTTTCAGCTGCTTGAGTACTTGTAGATAATAAGAATTCACAAAGACATTGTACAGGTAGTTGACTAAGTGAACCTTCACTATTTTGTACCAAATCTGCTAACCATGGCATACTTTGAGATGAACTTTGTTGTTGTCTTTGTATTATGTCTAATAAAAAATCTGGCTTTCGAGATCGACAAAGCAAATGTCCTAATCTATGAGATACATTTAAAGATTTAATTTGTTCTAACACAGCTGGTGGTGGTCTCCTAGCGATACCAGTTGGATCCATAGTTATTAACTGGGATAGAAGTAAACTGTTTTGTTCAGAAATTTGTATTCTTGTTGATGCTGCAGCTAAATGAGATTCATATTCAAGTATTTCTTGCCTTTCTATTGCTTCAACTTGTAATTCTTTGGCACGTTCTTGTTCCATAATTTCTGGTAAAGCCATTGTAGGTGGAGGATATGCAAAATGACTGGAAATATTTAATCAATGAAATATGTATAGCATGTCATACATAATATTAATATTTAAATGATTCCTATATGTTATATAAACATTTTCAATGTTATTTAATATACTTACTTACTTAGTAATACACATTTCCATAAGAGTTCTCAAAATAGGATATCGTTTCCATGCAAGAGCGCCGATTGTGGAAGGATTGTGAGCAGCTAAAATTAACAACATTATCCATCCTTTCCAGTATAAATTTGATATTGCTAAAGTTGGTGGTACATATCTAAATAAAAAGTATTAAAAATATATATTATTATACAAGTTATATAGGCATAAAATATAGTAATTAATAGTAATTAATGTGATTATATCACATCAATTTACCCAGCAGGTATATTTATTGTTCCTGGAGGTTGGTAAATACAAAGATTGAAGATAAGTTCAATGATATCTGTTTTGTCAGCTTGTAACATTGGAAAACTTTCTGTTGAATTTGCTGCTGCTCTTCTTATTAATTGATCTGTCAAATCTAATGTTTCTGAATGTGTTATACTATTATCCTATAGATAAATATATTTATATTATTGTATAATTTCTAAATGAAACAAATTCTATTTTTATGTTAATATTTTATATATTTGTATTTTTATATCTTACTTTAGCAAATCCCATCAATAACAACCTTAATAGTGTGCTCTGTAATAATGGAACATCTGACACAAGACGAAGATAGAACACTCTATCTGATTCTGGTGGCCAGTTATCTAATTTATAATAATGTTCAGCAGATTCCAACATTAATATTTTATGTAAACCATGAAGCAGTTCATTTTTACCAACAAGATACATTTGTTGTGCAGAATTTCGGAGCCATAAAACTGCTTCATATTGTATTGTTGCAACTAAATTTTGAAAATGATGTAACAAAGCTACATCTTCTTTATCACCACGTTGTGCAAGAGCTGCTGCTTCCTTAACTTGTGGACTGATAGCCAAAAGCATACAAAGACAGAGTAAATCTATTAAAGACATGAACACTCGTTCTTTGAATTCAAAGTTTAGTAATTGTTGTGCTATATCCTGTCTTTCTGACATTAATGTACGTGCGAATGTAACTAAATTAATATCGTGTCGACAAACACGTACAATTTCTCTGAGTAGTGCACGTAAAGGTCTCAAATAATCTTCACGATTCATTAATAAATCTTGAAATATTTCTGCAAGTAATTTAGCTGCTTGCTCAGGTAATGTCTGAAATATTACAGCTAACATTGGCATGTTATTTGGATTACGTGCGTTAGACAATTCGTTATAAATTGTATGTTTTAAAATCGTAGATAAATTTTCTGGATGAAGACCAATCAGTTCCTTTACTCCATTTAAGTATAAATTAATCACAGCTTTAGTCTTTAACCGCATTTTTACTAATTGACTTATAACTTCTACATCTTTTTGTGTATGTGAAGTACAATTGTAACAAATATAACTGAGTAATTCCTGTGCAGGTCTCATTAATTTAGGATTATGCAGCCACATTTCTAATCTTGGAACAGCAATGTTTCTGATCTCTACAAACCCACATGCCGAAGAAAGTAATCTTAAAAAATTTCTTGTAATCGATTCTGGTTGTCTCCTATTTATTTGTTCCTTGACAGCTGTTAATACAATATACTCTACATTGTCCATACAATGAGTATATCTAGGAGTTACTGGAAATTCTATTTTTTCTTTATCTCCAGAGAATTGTACAGTTGAAGTTCCTGGTTCTTCATCATCTATTGTAGAAGGACTATGACAGTCTCTTGGTGTTAATACTGATAATTCTGTTTGTAATATACTTTTAGGTGGTTGTCTTGTATTAAATCCTGTTAATATATTATCAACAAAGCCCTTACATTCTTCATGATCAATCCATACACGTTCACCTAATGCATCTTCAATATAAAGCTATAAAAGAAAAAGAAAAAAAATAAGTATCTATATACTTCTAATTTAAATAATATAACATTATATTGTATTATATCATACAAATGAAAATTGTAGAATTTATTACAGTAACCTGTACAAAAATTTCTGGCCAATTCTTCTTATCATGAAATCCTTTCATTAACAAATTTGCAGCCAGCACTGGTACAAGTGGATTTCCTTTACTTTTGTAATTATGAGCTTGGTCTCTCTTTAATAAAGATGACAATGCATGAAGTATGCAATCATTAGAAAAAATTGATGCACGAATTTTTGCTAGATAGAGTAATCCCATATATATTAGTGTTTCAGGTTTCCATCTTTGATTTTTAAGAGTTTTTATAGCACCACAAATTATGCCAATAACTTTATCACCCTCATCATTATCATTAGCTTCTAATACTAGTGGAACAAAATCTGCTGGATCAGTTTCTGTAGCTACTGCTTCCCATGCCTCAGTACTAGAAAATGGTGGTCTTTGATGAGTAATATGTTGTGCAAGTTTCGGCTTTTTTTGTGGAATTAATGATTGAAGAGATCCTGGTGGTGCTTCCTTTTTACGTTCTGTGCCTATTAATGATAAAAAAAATATTAATAGAATATAAAAGTATTTACTTTTCTATGAACATTTCATTTCTGCTTGAAATATCGCAATTACCAGAAGTTGAAGCAGTACCACTTGGCTTAGGATGTATAACACCTGGTCTTTTAGCATCAGAATTTTCCCCACGAGAACTTTTTGATCCAAGTGCAAATAAATCAGAAGGATGCTGAGCAATTTTATTTTTTGCACCTCTCCCTATACTTGTTTTCCCACGATCCATTGTAATTTTTATTAATATCTATGTTCATTGATGAATGTACAACAAAACATAAATTAAATCTACAGATTTAAAACTTAATGCTTTTTTCATATAACACATATAAGTCCTCATATCATACATCAGAGATACTACTTAATTTCACAATTTTTATTTTATGTTCCTAGTATAGTATGAAAGTACGGTTTCCTAACCTTTATGCTGTATATATATATTTATATATATATATATGTGTATATATTATATATATATGTTTGTATGTATGTATTGTAAGTTTATAATTTGTTTAAGAAAGTTTTTTAAAAATAATAAAAATCTCATAAGAAACACGTAGATAATCTTAGAAATAAACTTTTGCATTTAAAGGAATCATTCTTTTACAAATTTATATAATCAACAGTACACCACGATTTCTAAATACTAACTTTGTAAAATGTATAATTATTATTGTACGAAGATTGGAAGAATGATGAAGTATTACCGGCAATAACAAAACTAACAGTTGCCAAAACTAAATACGCGACGCCATCTATCTTTAATGTTTCAACAAAAAGAAGTAGAAGTTTTTTCATGTAATTTTTTCTTTGAAATAATATAATAATTGAAATAATAAAAGAAAAAGTAAATATTAATGAATTCTGCGATATTAGTAAAAATTTTATAATATATAGTTTCGACCAATAAAACGCAAGAGTTCAGATTTGGACTAATTTTAATTATCTATTGTTTTTCATGGGATGAATGCGATCACATGACTAATCACATTTGTATAAAAAATACGCACATTGTTTTATTTCTAATAGCTTCATTAATTACTAGAAAAATCTGTCAATGCTAGGTAAAGGTGGTTTACCATACTATTATCTTTTACATGCATGCCGTCTACAGAATTATTTGCAGACGTGTAGTATTATTTGATCATGTTTAGTTGTGGTTAGTCGTTAGTCAAAACGGATAACGGTGAGTACTAATTTTCATTTTTGAAAATTTCTAATCATAATTTTTTTTTATTAATTAGGAGAAGGAGAATGTCCAATGATGAATAATGATTCTAAGCTCATCTAATACGTTAAGAGAGCACACGTTCGTATTTTAAAGTAACACTCGTGAAAATTATTCTTTAGTCTCGATTCATCGAATGTAATAATTGGTTCATCTAAGTTCATTCATCTTTTTGACTGCAATCTTTAATATTTCTAATCATTTTTTGATTAATTTATATGACGTGTATAGTTTTCCAAACATTGTAAGATTTATAACAGTAAACATGAATGCAAATGATAGTGAACAAACGGAGCAATATGAACCTTCTATTAAGAATATAATAGAACAACGATCTTTACGATGGATTTTTGTCGGTGGTAAAGGTGGAGTTGGGAAAACAACATGCAGGTATTTATAATTTTGGAATTGTGCATGTATTAATCCTAGAGACTTCACTTTACTCCTTTACGTTCATTCCTCGTTTTTTCTTTCAGTTGTTCTCTTGCCGTTCAATTGTCAAAAGTAAGAGAAAATGTTCTTATTATCTCTACAGATCCAGCTCATAATATCTCTGATGCCTTTGATCAGAAATTTAGTAAAGTACCTACCAAAGTTAAAGGTTTCAATAACTTATTTGCAATGGAAATTGATCCAAATGTAGGTATTACCGAATTACCTGAAGAATACTTTGATAACGAAGCAGGTTTGTATAAGCAAATTAATATATTTTTATTAACGCCGTGCATGTTATGCAAGTAATGCAGATTAGTAGTAAACAGAATAAAGGCCATGCGTTGCTAAAGTAAAAGTGAGAGATTTTTCCAATCTGTCATTCACCGATTTACTTTAAACCGAAGAGATATCTCTATTCGGTTGGCTAAGTGTTAATATATCTAGCATTATATTATTTACTAAGAAGTGAATTTTAGGTGGAGAAGCAATGAGGTTGAGTAAAAGTGTTATGCAAGAAATTGTTGGTGCATTTCCTGGTATAGACGAAGCAATGAGTTATGCTGAGGTCATGAAGTAAGTTTTCATTTGTTTCAGTTAAGTTTTGAATTGTTTCAGTTGTTTACTTGTTTCAATATTTAAGGTTATATTTTTCTAATGTATTAAATCTATATATCTATGGATTTAAATTTTTAGATTGGTAAAAGGAATGAACTTCTCTGTAGTAGTATTCGATACTGCACCTACTGGTCATACCTTAAGATTACTGTCATTTCCTCAAGTGGTTGAAAAGGGATTAGGAAAACTGTTGCTTTTAAAAATGAAAATTGGTCCTTTCATTAAACAGGTTTGTTAAATAATAGATGATGTTTCATATGTTAAATATTAAAAATAGCTCTTTTATGTTCCATTTAATATATAGATATATATTATTTTAGCTTAGTTCTTTATTGGGGATCACTGATTTCAATATGGATACTTTTTCAAATAAAATGGAAGAAATGTTAACAGTTATTCGTCAAGTCAATGAACAATTTAGAAATCCGGAACAAACTACATTTGTTTGTGTGTGTATAGCTGAATTTTTGTCACTTTATGAGACAGAAAGACTTGTACAAGAATTAACAAAATGTGGTATAGATACACACAACATTATAGTAAATCAACTTCTTTTCCTAAAGGAAGGTGATGTTCCCTGTAGACTTTGTCTTGCCCGGCACAGAATTCAAGATAAATATTTGGAACAGGTAGATTAATTATTTTAATATTAATATATGTATATAACAACTTTTTTTTATGTTTTCCTCTTTTTTTCAAGATTATGGATCTTTATGAAGATTTTCATGTTACACGTCTACCTTTATTAGAAAGAGAAGTCCGTGGTGTACACCAAGTTAAAGAATTTTCTGAAAACCTTATCAAACCATATAAGCCTTAACACAAATGTAATTAATGGGATTATAATACACATAATCAGACATATAATCAGAAAATTTGACAATTTAGATCTCATAATGCAAAAATTTGTATAAAAATTTATTTCTTATATTTCCATTATTCATATTATAATAATCTGATAAATTCATTCTTTGTTGCTTCTTGTAATAAATCCTACGTATAAACGTAGCAGTTAATAGATATGTAAGAGCTTTTGTGCATTCTCTATTATTTGCGTGAGGTGTGTCTTATGAATAAATATATACATTTTGTAAGAAATAATGCGTTTATTACAAATATATAGTTTATAAGACAAATAGTTTGAAGACATCTAATATCGTGTATTATTTGCTTAAAACACTTCACGCAAATATTCGAAAGTGCGCCATAAAATTTCGATATAAAAGATATTAATTACATAGAACATAGAATATAGAATATGCATTTGTATCTTTTATATCGCATTATTACGATTAATAAATAATTGTGATTTTTATCTGTTGAATTTATATCTTTATAATAACACAATACAATGTTATTTTGTTATGTTGAATATGTATAATGCACAATGACATAAATTAAATTTGATTTCATTTTCAATTAGGAATATTTATTTAACATTCTTGTATGGTAAAAGGACAAACTATTATTATTATATGACAGATAATTTTTTTCCAATATATATAAATGCATTTACAGCTTTATCTATATCTTCTTTAGTATGTGCTGCACTTATTTGAACTCTTATTCTTGCTTTTCCTTTTGGTACAACAGGATAACTGAAGCCAATGACATAAATTTCTTTCCCTTTAAAGATAATTATAAATCAGATAAATAATATATAAAAGTGCATTAATGTTTATATGGTTTCAAAAAAATATGGTAAAAAATTGTATTCACATACCAATCATTTCATCAGCAAAAGTTGAAGCTAATTTTGCATCTCCCAGCATAACTGGACATATAGGATGATTATTACCATTAATTGTAAATCCAGCAGCAATCATTGACTTTCTAAAATGTTCAGTATTTCTTACTAAATTATCCAAAAATGTTGTATTAGATGTTATTAGATCCATTACCTATAGATGAGAAGGTCTTATTTGAATTCATTTATTATTTAATTATTTATAATTTAATATATTATATTAATATACATAATATTTTATATACTTTATTAGCTGTTGCTACAACGGGTGGTGGCAAAGAGTTTGAAAACAGATATGGCCTACTGCGTTGTTTTAACAAATCAATCAGTTCTTTCTTACCAACTGTGTAACCACCTGCTGCTCCTCCTAAAGCTTTTCCTAAAGTAGAATTAATAATATCTATACTACCTACATGATTGAAATATTCTTCAGTCCCTCTAAAATTAGATTAAATTATATTAAACAGATAGGTAAATCCAATATTGATCGGGCTATTAATTAATATAAATTATCCACTCACCTACCAGTTTTTCCAAAAAATCCAGTTGCATGACAATCATCTACAAATGTAATAGCATCATACTTTTTTGCAAGTTCGATTATATCCGATAGTGGGGCAATAGTACCATCCATCGAAAAAACTCCATCGGTCGCGATGACTCGTAAACGTGATGTGGAATTTTCCTTGAGCTGTCTTTCTAAGTCAGCCATGTCTCTATGCTTGTATCTTAACAAAGAAAAATTTTTTTAAATTTCAGAAATCGTCTAATTTTCGAATTTGTTTTAACGTAATACCTGTATTTCTTAGCCTTGCATAATCGAATCCCATCGATGATTGAGGCATGATTGAGTTCATCGCTGAACACTGCATCTTCTGGAATAAGCAAAGCTTCGAAGAGACCAGCATTCGCATCAAAACAAGATGCATAAAGAATTGCAGCTTCTCTACCATGGAAAGCTGCTATCTTTTTTTCTAATTCACAGTGTATCTCTTGCGTACCACATATAAATCTAACAGAACTCAAACCAGCTCCGTATTTATCTAAAGCGACCTTAGCTGAGGCAATTATTTCCTTGTTATCCTAATTACATTCAATACACTTTGCATTTATTTGCTTTTATTTATCTGATTAAAAAAAAAAAAAGAAATATCAAAATATTTTATTTTACCGCCAAACCTAGATAATTATTTGCACAAAAATTTAAGGCTTTTATTCCATTTTTTAATATAATCCTTGTTCTTTGAGGCGACACAATTATCCTTTCACTTTTCCAAGTACCAGCTGCTTTTATAGCTTCTAATTCTGGTTCTATGAACGTCACCAAGGAACTCGAATTAGCAGATTGAATTCCTTTAATATTACGAATTTTTACAGCTGCAAAAATAAAGATACGTTTATAAAATTTTCACCCGATTTTCGACAATCATCTTTACAATTAAATAATTAGTCTAACGAAACTAACTTCTATTAAGTATTCGATACATTTTACACGAATCTAATACAAAATTCTACTGCGTTTAAAATCGAATGAATAACAGATCAGAAAGAATAAAACCAAACAGAAACCGGTTTAACAAGTTATTCATAAATTTTATAAAAAATATATATCTAGCTTCTTAGTTTTATTACATCTTATTATTTTTTTAATGTTGTTCAATTTTACTATATAATTGAAATGAATGGATTACAATACAAATTTATTTATAAATTCTTTTATATTTTAAATAAAAAAAAAAAAAAAAAATTTTATATGTATTAGTTTTTATACAACATTCATTTTCGCGGTCAAACTTAATCAATAACTGCAATAGCACTCGATGAAAAAGAATTTGTATCGTAGAGGGCGTTTTAATGGTTTTTTTTTTTTTTGGATAGAATCAATAAACAAATCTACAAAAATGAAATAAAATAATTATATTAAAAGAATTAATATAATAATACTTGACACAATAAACATTAAAGAATCATTTTACTTTGCCTGTTACACATATATTTATACAATTTTTTATGAATTCTTAATATTGGAATTTTCTGCATCTAAACGTTCATGTTCTCGTTTTATCAATGCTTTCAATTCTTCCTAAAAAAAAAAAAAAAAATTCAAATTAGTTCTAATTTTGCATCGCGTATATAATTGTGGACAAGTACAAGCTACATACACCCCAACCAAGTTTGTCAGCTAACAACTGACAACCTGTATCACAGTCACCTAACCAAGCAACATCTCGTCCGGAATTGGAATTTTTGGAGTCGAAGATTAAACCTTGTCTTAAACCTAAAAATCTGGACAAACGATCTTGCATACCTGCTTTTTCTTTATTTATAAGAAGACGAGGACAGGAAGGCCGTACTCTTGAAAAATTTTAATGAATTTAAGAAACATAATTAATAAAAAAAAATTAATGTTTTAATATGTAAAATACCTGTCAATGAGAGAGGCGAAAGGTTGTACTACCAAACTTGATCCCATAATAATTAAGAGATCAGCATGTACAAAATCTCTGTCAGCGAAATAATGGAAACGTTCTGGTAACATTTCTCCAAAAAATACCACATCAGGTTTTACTACACCTTCTTCGCACTCTTCACATTTGGGTATTACACTTTCCAATATTTTTTCTGTTAATTGATATGAAATATTTATTTATGTTTATTTATCTATTACTTCATTTTATATTCATATAATAAATAAGATTTATCACCCTTCATCCATTCAAGCGTATATGGTGCCCTACATTTAAGGCAATGACCAGTATGAAAAGTTCCATGAGCTTCTATTAATTTTTCTGCTGGCAATCCAGCAATTCTTTCTAATGTATCAATATTTTGTGTATAATGTCGCAATAATAAACCTTTTTCCCATAAGAGACGAATAAAATAGTGGCATGGTGTAGGTTTAAATCCTTCAGGTAACAATTGCTTTGCAAGGGTAAAAAATGGTTCTGGATTCTCCATAAAAAAATCTAATTCAAAAACTGCTTGAGGATGTGGTAAATTATATTTTTCTAAATTATGATAAAGTCCACTTGAAGGTGAACGAAAATCTGGAATTCCTGCAGCTAAAACAAATGATTTATATTATCTTTAAGCACATAGTATAATTAAAAAAATATGGACTTACATGTGGAAATACCAGCTCCAGCCATTGTTATAATTTTACATTTTGGATTCTGCTTTATGTAATCTATAATACCATCTATGGTTAATTCTTTAAGAACACCTGAACATGACTCTTGTTCGGTGTCCGAGTCATACAACTTTAATTTCTGAATTAAATATTTGCGTATTTTTTCCATTCCTGAATCTTCTCCCTCTGTCTCTGTTTCTGTACTTTCTGAGGAAGGGCCAGGTTTGTCTTCATCTGGATTATTGTCTAATAAATATTAAATAAGTATATGACTAACCTTTAAAATAATATTTTATTGTGTATTAAATATTTATATTAAACGTACAATGTATAATGATTTTTTATATAAAGTCTGTTTGTTTTTATTAATATATATAAAATAAAAATCATCTGATCATAAGAATATTTGCTTCACATGAAATATTAAATGAAGAAGTTAAAATTAACATGACAATAATTTATTAAATTAACTCCTAATTTAATAACAGGATGGTATCTGTTTGTTGTATATATGCTATTAACCTATAATGATAAAATCTTATATAAATATATATAACATTATATATAACATTTAATAAATTTTTAATATTAATAAGTAAAAAAAATGAATTAATATTAAATTTCTAAAAGGAAAAACAAAGATTTAAAAATGTCGAAAATTGTTTGATATTCATTTGTTTAATTACTATGCATATTTAGATTTAGAATATATTTGAATGGTATTAATCAATTAGAATAACAAATAGATAATTACATGAATGAAAAATAAAGAAGTATAAAGCCATAATTTCCAACAAATGTTTGAAAATTGAATTGCTGTAAATACTTTAAAAATTACCTTTTTCCTGTTCATCATTATGCTTTTCCATATTATTAAATTAGAAAAATTCGATAAAAATTGTTTGGATATAGATTTTTCTTTATAAGAGAAATTATTGAATAAAAGATTCAAAAACTTCAGAAATATGTTTGCTTGAACATACACATCATTTAACTACAATAATGTTGAAGTACTCGACAAAAAAATAGAATATTTATGAATAATATTTTTTACGTATTGTCATTGTTTGCAAATATTTTTTATTTATAGCGAAAGATGCGGTAGAAAAGTTCTGCGCATCGAATGGAATACAATCACGCATGTTCCACGCATAAAAAAACTAAACTACGCAAATACAGTGCTGCCAGGCAATACGTAATTAAAGAACTAGCGAGTGTTGATGGCGAAGGGCTATATAATCTTACCTATTAATCTATTTTTCAAATTTCGCTTTTTGAATATATCGATTTTGGTTAATTGAACGTATAATAAGCGAGGAGAAAATAGCAGATTAAAGTGTGAAATTTGAAAATATCGAAATCCGACGCAATAATAACCAATCATATCTGATTGCTAACTAACTTCACTAGTTCAAGACAGTTCAAGAGAAGTCACGAGAAAGCTATTATTGGTTGTCTCTTCTCACTATCTTTTTTTACTCCCCGTCTCCTGCATTGCGAATGTATATGAGTTAACACACTAATAAAAGTAGGGATTATTGCAGTCAAGAATCTGACATGACGTGTGTAACCGCAAAGCGATGGATTGTGAAGTTTAGTCTGTCCTAAGATAAGATTATTTCCGCATTATTAATTCATTGTATAATTTTGAATTGTTCGTTAAATAACGTTTCATTAAGTACACGATTAAAAAATGTCAGGTTTCGACGAGAATCCATTTGGAGAACCTACTATTCACGATCCTTTTTCGGTAAGTACATAGAATTCCATTTCTGTCATAGCAATAGTGAGAATTATGTATGTTCAATAGAAACACTTATAACAAAACAATATTAATAAGATATCTATTATATTTTTGATTTTCTATTGGTATCTTACTCCGCGATGTGAATCTATTAAATTAAGTTCTGTTATTGTTTAATTTATTTTCTTTATAGATAAATATTTACATATGAGTATTTTACCGTACGGTGCAATATTTACATGCTTTAATTAATAATTATCATGCTTACATTAATTTTAGATATTGCATTTAAATTGATTATTGCTATCGAAAATAATTGATCTTAATATTATATATTTTTATAGGATCCTGCAATAAAAAGGGCAGTTGCTTCAACACCTGCTAATAAGGGCCTCGAAGACTATAATCCTTTTTCTGAGCAAACAGTAACACAAGGAACTGCTCAAGTCAGAGGTGCATCAAATCCTCCTATTTATGGAGGAATAGGAGCAACACAGCAACCAGCAACGCTTCAACCTTCAAATCAAGAAGCTCCACCACCTCCATATGCGCGTACTCCACAGCAAACAGTGAATGCAGCACTTGGAAGCACATTATCACCTTCTACAGATGTAAACACACATCCGAGATTAAATTGGACTACGAAACAAATTTTGTAATGTGTTATACACACATAATTTCACATTTTTTTACAAATTTTTGAATACCGATTTAATCATTAAATACAATCATTTACTTCAAGTAAATTAGTTATAATTTCAAAGAAATATGATATTTATTGCAGCAAAGAACTGATGAAGAATGGAAAACAAGGAGAGAAGAAGAGATGAGGAATACTTCATATTTTCGTAAGTATCTTAAAAATTATTATTTCTTAAAATTATTCTATAAATTCCAAATTGCAACATTATAGCAAGGCGAAATAATTGGCCACCTTTACCTGAGAGATACTGTTTTCAACCATGCTTTTATCAGGATATTGATGTGGAAATTCATGCTGACTTTCAAAAGATAGTGAGACAGTTGTATTATTTGTGGATGTGTAAGTTCATTTAATGTGCTTTTTAATATAAGTGGGAAATATTAAATATATATAAAAATTCTTTTATATTACAGTTCATGGCTTAGTATTGTTTTTGAATGTGATTGGTGGATTTGTCTTGATGTTTCATAGTAAAATCTTTTCCATATTTGGTCTTGGTATCCTGTATCTTATTTTGTTTACACCATTTTCATTTCTTTGCTGGTTCAGACCAGCATATAGAGCTTTTAAGTAAGTTCCAAAAAAAAAAAAAAAGTAAATTTTTCTAACAATATATTGATTAACTATATTACTTTTTTTTTTTAGGAATGATAGCTCCTTCAACTTTATGGTGTTTTTCTTTGTTTTCTTTTTTCAATTAGTTGTTACAAGTATACAAGCTATTGGTATACCTGGATCAGGCACATGGTAATAGATATATATATATATATGTGTGTGTGCGTGCGTGTGTGTATGTGTGAAATTTTTTATTAATTTTTATTATTTGAAACATTTTTTAATTGCATACTATTATATAATATATCAGAATGTAAAATATATGATTTTAAAGTTTTATTATTTTTTCAGTGGAATAATAACAGCTATTTCTGCATTTAACTCAACTGCAGCAGGAATTTTTGTTGGAATTCTGTTACTTTTCATTGCTATTGGTTTTATCCTTGCAGCAGGTGGTGATCTCCTTTTATTGACTAAGGTATATTCATTATTTTTAAGATTATATTTATTATGTTTAAGATTTATTGATATATATCTAATATTACACATATTTCATGTTTTAAAATCATATTATGAGGATCATTTGCAGATTCATCGAATTTATCGAACATCAGATGCAAGTGTATCAAAGGCACAACAAGAATTTGCTACAACTTTCTTGCGTAATGAACATGTCCAAAATGCTGCGAGTAATGTAGCAGCTACCGCTGTTCGGACACAGATGGCTAATGCTGCTCAGCCACGTTATTAGGAATATCTTAAATTAAAAATATCATTTGGATCGAAATATATCCTGCCTTCATATCAGAAAATTCATAAATCTCCTATGTTTGTTTGCATGATATTTTGTTATTATTTTATTGAATTCATTAATCTCCATTGTATTACAAAAGCATATTCTTATAAAGAAGTGATATAATATGTGAAATTATGTTCATTTCACATTTATTGTATGTATTTTATTAATAAGGTGATCTATACAATTTATGCAGAAAAAATTAATAATTATAAAAGACAAACAATGAACATTTCCTAATCAAAATACGCTTTTTTTTAATATCAACATATTTATTCGACTACTTTTAACCGTAAATTAGATTACTAATTATTACATGTATTAGATTTTATACATGGGAAAATTCATTTATATGCACTGATGTAGGTTTTACAAGTTGATTTTTAGAAAATTTAAAAATCAAAATGTTTTAATGACTAAACGTGTCTACATGATAGATTTTTTAGATTATAGTTTTTAGATTCTTTTTTTTGTTTTTATGAATATTATATGTTGTTTTTTATTTCTTTATCTATTAAATTTCATACATCTGATTTGCATCCTACAATATGAGATAATGAAATGTAGACTTGTTTTTCATTGAAGCTACACATTTTCATATAACATAGAATTTAGTGCTTGTAATTAAAAAGAAAAATATTTGTAATTTACTTGGAATTTTACAACATTCTCATAAAAGTTTATTACATTGATCTTCAGTAGGAATGACATAGGTTGCTGTCAAAGATAAAAATTAGTGTAAAAAATAGAAGAAACCTTATAAGTTTTGAAATTTATTCACGATTATTAAACTAAATAAATAAGTAATCTAATTAAGGTAAAAATTCATCTTTTTAACAAATCTAAATGATACAAAATAACAGTTACTATATTTTCTTATTTAAATCAATCATTTTAAAAAATTGTTATATTTGTTTAATTTATAATTAATTATTAATTGATATTAAGATTTACTGTTTATTATAAAAAGTATAATTTGTAATTAATGATACTTTTTGGAAACATTCAAATTAATATTTTGTGACAATTAATAAAAAACAAAGCTCCAAAGGTCTATATATAAACGATTTTATTTCTCAATAGGTACTGAGAATAATATAAAATACTTATGGATAAAAAGTAGGTCATGAATATTAAATTGCTGAACTAATATGCTTATGATTCTGCCTTGAATTATTGTATTTTATTATAACACTTAAAATTTTGAAGATATAAATTAATCGAATAATAAGTAAATGTATATATTTGTGTTAGAAAATTAAATATAAAATGTCAGACTAAAAATATAAAAGCGTCATCAAAATCATATTCATAAATTCGTTATTTAATATGCATTTAATACATTATAGGAATGATTTTAGTATTTGCAAATCAAGAGTTTTCAATATCTCCTTTCCTACAATTGTTCATAAAATATTTTAATATTCGTAACTACAAAATTAATCTGTGTTATTATGATTGTATCACATTATATGAAATTTACCTCTGCAATGATATGTGTATTTTGGATTAGTAGGAAAAGGACATCCAATTCCCATATTACTTCTAAGAATACCAGTTAAATCTGCTGCAATTATAGCATCCATAAGTTGTACCTCTGATCTACACATTAATCTTGCATGACCTTCAGCTAATCTACATAATAAAAATTTTAGTATATAACTCTTATTTTCCTATAAATTATGTATTACCTGATCAAGCTATCTAAAAGTCGTACGGTAGTTCGTTCTGCTCTTCTTTCTGGATTCGATCTATGGTAAAGATAAGTTGCACTAAGAACTTTTTCTGCTTCTAGTGTAAGAATTGGTTTCAATGTATGTACATGTGCTAAATACTCGCGTAAACTTTCCTCCGTCCATAATCCTTCTAATTTTACAGAATCTATATGTTGCATTGTATCTCTGAAAATAATAATTTAGTGCGTATGTTAAAAATGTTTTAAAGTTATAATATTTTCTTATAGTAAAGTACTAATTTAAATTATTTTATTACGTTTGAGCTTCTGTATCATTAAATTCATAAGCCGCTTTTAAAATATGATCAGATGTCATTTTATCCCATTCTGGATTTTTATTGTCTTTGAGAAGAAGGATTAGGTCAAATCGTGATAAAAGGGGATTTCCCAAACGTGTTTTCCATTCTTCACCATCTACAAATTGTCCTCCATCTGGATTAATAGCAGCAATAACTGTACATCGAGAATTTAGAGTACTCACTAAACCTGCTTTGGCAATTGATATTGTTTGTTGTTCCATAGCTTCATGCACACATGCTCTGTCATGAGAACTCATTGTATTAAATTCATCAATGCAACAAACACCTCCATCAGCTAATACCAAAGCACCACCTTCTAAATGCCAACCATCTGTATCCTATAATTTTAATAATATTTTTATTTTATTTAATATCTTATCTAATATTTTTTTGAAACTTATAATATCTAACAACTATAAATGTTGTTGAAATATATAAACTCACTTTGACAGCAGCAGCTGTAAGACCAGCTGCAGTTGTGCCAATACCAGTTGTAAGAACAGATGTTGTTGATAATCTAGAGGCAGTACGAAGTAATTGAGACTTCCCAGTTCCGGGATCACCAATCATAAGAAGATGTGGCTCACCTCTGACACGTGTACCTATACATTTTTATAAAATTTATTGTTTTGTTTGAAAAAGCTTATGTTCATTTAATTCTATGAATTTTTTAATTATGTTATACAAAATCACCTGATTCATTTGTTTTTGATACACCACCAGCTAAAACAACAGCTAATGCTAATTTTACTGTATACATTCCATATAGCTGAGGAAAGAGAGAAATAGACAATTGTATCTTATTTTAACAAATCATGATATTCTGTGCACTTTATAATATTCTACTTAGAATGTATTCAATTTGTATACTTGAGGACAAATTGATGCAAGTATATTATCTCTTCCAACCAAAGGATCATTTTCATGTTGCTGCCAATAACTTTTAAAAATGTCTTGCATTTCTTGATTGGAAAATGTAATGTCAGTTATTTTACGACGTATTGAAATACTATTCGCTATCATTTGTGTTGTTGCTTCTGCTTGCCGTCCAGCTGATAAAGTTCCCCATTTACGTACAACTACCCCACTTCATATATAGAAAATATGTGGTCAAACAATATTGGCTTTTATCAATATTATTTATAAATAAAAAAAAAATACCTAATCTCTAAACTATCTCCTGGCCTGCATTTATCAACTAAATCATCCAATAAAATTATTTGTAGTCCAACCATATAAGACTTGTTTGTATCCTTTTGATTTTGTTCCTATTAAATAAAATATTGAAAATAAGAATATAAAATGAAAAACTTTCTTATTGATTATGAACTTACTTGAATTTTTATTTCCTGATAATCAGAACAATCATCTGGTTCTAGATTTGTCAAAGTTTCTATCTTCTTTGCATGACATGCTTGACATTCCTTAATACTTTGAAACATATGTCGTTCCCATTCAAACTAAGAAATAAAATATTGTTCATTTGATTTAGTATAATGCGAATTACATGAAATTTATTTAACAAACAAAAAGCTACCTTGATTATAGATACATATTGACACTTTTTACATTTGAATTTTTTTTTAAGTTTTATGACAGAAGGTTGAGACGTTCTAACTGTGATTCCACTTGTACAAACTAGTTCACCAATCTGTCCATGTTGCATTGTTATAGGAACAGCAGTAATTCTGATATGAACCTAGCCATATGTATAATATGGATAAAATATGAAACATTTCAACATAAAATATTCAAATATGTAATTACCAATTTCTTTACAACTTGTTGTGCTTTGGCTATTTTTTCTTGAGCTTCAATTGCTGCTTCATCACATAAAGGTAAATAATATCTAGGATAGCGCAAGATTTTTTGTGCATTTTCAGGATCAGCTTCAAATAAAGATACAAAACTGCAAAAATATTTTGAACGTTTCCAAAATCAAATAATAATAAGAAATATTTAATTAAAAATGATATAGCTTTTACTTCACATAAATCGGATAATGTGCATATTCTTCCACAGCATTTAATATTTGTTCTAATCGAGATGAATAATGGTTTATTAAATAATCTTGCAACATTGCCAAGGGTTCTGAAAGAAATATACCAATAAATATTTAAAAATAAAACAATATTTATTGAATGGATAAATATCGTTTTATTTATATCTTATAAGAAACTTAGAACACGTGCATGTATTCTATAGACTGCGACAGCAGCGCCACAGTTGAATTTAATAAGATTTTTACTTTACTTTTAAGAACATACAAATTGTTATATTAAATATTTAAAAAAATCATTATGCTGTGAAAAATATAAAAATATCTAATTTATAAATATTTCATAATAAAACAATATGTAAGTTATTGTTCATTACCTTATATGTATGAAAACAATAAGATCGCGTATCGGGAACTTATTGCGCATGCGCAAATACTTTTTATTTCATTTGTTTAATTTGAAAATGTGTAGTTCTTCAACTGTTACGACGTAGATATCTTCGAGCTTCTTCTGCTACGAACAATTTTGAAGAAAATTTTGGTGATTATTTATGGTGACTTCGAAAGGTGTTCTCATGTATTTTTGAAGAGACAGTATAACAAGAGAGAGGTAAGTTAAATACATCAATTTATATTATATAAAATCTTATAAAGAAAAGAAGTTCAATTTTTATTTGATTCTTTCGTATGTACATTGTAGATTATTCATTTGATATGTTTTACAATTCTTTTTTCCTTTGACGACTCTACATAAATTATTGATCAATTTTATTCGGAATATTACATCGTATTACGTGTTATTAACAAATGATGTGTATAAGCGTAAACGTACATGCACTTATAAATGCACATAGGCACATATATGTTAAAACAAATGCAAAAAGACAAAATAAGAAGAATGGAAGGTGATGGAGATGAGAATAAGGGTTTGACCATTTCTCTCTCATAAGAATTTTATGTCCCGGCTTGCTCTAAGGTTTAATAATACATCTCTAGATCGTTAATCACTGTGGTGAAATATAATTTAATACCTCATCGACCGAAAGCCGACCTCTAAAAATGACGAATGGCCGGAAAACACGCGGCAAACGCTCTCGTTCCGCCTGAAACTACTTCTTCCTCGTAGGTACGTGCAATATAACGTTATATAGCTTATGTAACGTTAAATAATAAGGGTTAGGTATTCAAGTTCGACTTTTTCGTGGTAACTTCCCATTCAATTGTGATAATAATAAATGTATTTTCTCTCACAATTACAAGATTGCTTAGATTCGTGTAAATTCGATAAGATCTTAGAAATAATTTTCTCACATTTGCACGCTACTATATATTGATCTTCCCTGAGTTTCGTGTAGATGGATATCCAATTACATCAATAAAAGAGACTGATACGCTTACATAGATAGTGCTATATCGTCGTTTGTTCCAACAAAGTCTTCGTATTTCGAAGTTGAATATGATATGCGTCTAACCGCAAATAATTTCTTTCGGTGGTTGGTTTACTCAGTCGAGGTACTCGATCACATGGCTGATGACGATCTATAGTATAGCAAATCTTATTTAACGGGTGATCCAGGTGTATGTCTATCCATCAGTATGCGACGCTTTAGAACTTGATAAACGACCAGTACAATGATCTTGCGGGTGCTGTAGTTTGACTGATATACGGTAATAGTATTGCGTTCATATCTTGACATCTTCATATCAATGTTAATAGGTTCGTGAGAGATAACAAAGTTTGAATTAAAAAACCTAGTTAGGAATCGAATTGTTCCATGCGGGAAACGATCGTGTGCACAGAGGTGTGGTTCGTACCGTCGGTAAAGAGATGTCGGATCATTGGATAATGATGGGATGTACCGTTCCATTCCGTTCGTTGCTCGTAATCCCATCCTCTCTGGCACAACAGTCATCATGTCGTCGTGGTACGGATCACTTAGGGATCATTAGCTTTATGGTGCTTCCGTATGGCCATTCGTGCGTGTGATTTCGATTGAATGTATTTCACAATGAATTTTGTGACCTTTGAAAATTTCCAATTCCTTTTTTCTTTCTTTTTACTCGATTTCTATAATGTCATTGTGTGACAAGTGGGAAGTATTTAGATTATCAGAGAATAGACAGTATATACTGATAATGTGTACTAATGTAATTTTAGTAAAGTTTGTACGTTACTATGAGGAAAGCGGAAATTTGCTTTAGAGAGAAATCACTAATCGTCAATCGAATGTCGAAGACCTTTGATTATATCTGCGGGCTTCTCAAGACCAGGATTAATTTGGATGCCACGCGATACCTTTGGATGCATATTATGAGCAAGCGGGTATTCAGCTTGTAACGTCATGCCGTGGATGAATATCTCGGATATAGTGTTACTGTGTATTTCGTTACCACTACACACCGGATGTGTTACGCCGAGCTCGAGAGTCGTATATACAGCGTATCAAGCGGTAACCGGTAGTCGGTGTGTACTACGATGTTTGTCTCTCTCTCCTCCCTCTCTCCCCCTCCTCTCTCTCTTGCGTGCGCGACATCGTGTATTCTCCTCCCTTATGAAGGACGGCTTCGGCTTCCGGCCCTTCCATTCAGGAATATCATCTTACGCGTTTCCTCGTGATTCACCTAACTCTCGAAACAGGCTGTAATCAAAGGATTACCACGAAGTGTTCCTATGTGTGGCCTCTAACTTGAGTCTTGCTTTGGACTGGATGTGACTACTACCTGGAGCGTAAACGCTTACGAACATACCAATTCCCTTAAAACTGTGTTCTTAACGCATCTATGTAACTCGTTTCACCATCTCTCATTTTATTGTGAGCTTAAAAAAGAGAATAGAAAAATAGGAGCAGATAATTTTTGTACGTTAAATATTTATTGTTTATTTCAACGAAAAAAGATTTTTGTAATATATTATGTACCATTGTCAAGTTGTCCCTTCAAATTTTCCCTTCTAAACGTAAATATTATCGCGGGTACCTTTAACACAGACTAATTATTAACACAGATTCTTTTTTGATATGCAGATACATTTTGGAAATTGTAATTAAAAAATGATTTATTCTGTAACTGATCGCGTTTAATCGCATTAATTTTAATCCGTTAATCCTTTGCGATAAAGATTCGTAAGGATTATTCTGAATATACTTTAATAATCAAATATTTTCGAATGAAATGATATAACTTGAAATTAGTATCTATCACTCTGTATGTGTGTCACGATATATATATATATATATATATATATATATATATATGTACACACGTATCATAAGGTAGCTCATATACGCTATCTCGTTTACCTTGGCAATTTCTTAAATACGAAAGAGAAAGGAACCGAGAGTGAGAAAATGAGAGAGCGAAGGAGCAAATATTTGTCCAATTAGGGAAACAATAACGCTATTGATTGTCGGTCAGAGAGTATATGTAAAAGAAAAAAAGAAAGAGAGAGAGAGACAGAGAGAGAGAGAGAAAGAGAGAGAGAGACAGAGAGAGAGAGAGAAAGAGAGAGAGAGAGAGAGGGATGCGGGAAATGAATCAACGTCGTTAACCTAGGAATGCGCTCACGTGGTATTAAGATTTTCACTGACGACTTACAGAGCTTTTCTAATTATATCACGATAATGAGATACGCTTGTTACAAGGCATGCGATATAATTAGCTGCTACGTAAAAGAAAATTTTATATTTATATTTTTTTTTTGCGAAAAATACAGAGTTTTAAATATGAAAAGAAGAGGGGAAAGAGAAGGAAAAGAAGGTAGGAGGATCGCAAGAAAAAGAAGTTGGCGTATATAAAATAGAGATTTCTTCTTCGATATATCGTTAAGCTTCTTCCCATTACTTCGAGGAATATAGACGTTTTGCGTCAAATTCTTCCGTCGTCCATCGCTACGTGACTGACGTTTTAAGCTTTTCCCATGTAACATTATATGTGCCGATAGCGAAAATAGAACGGGATGGCATTACGGCGAACGGAACTCTCGTATCATTTTTCACATCGATATCTCGCGGATAGTTCGACGCGCCTGGCGACCACCTCAACTTTGAAAGGGCTCGAAGTAGGGCCTCTGAAAATTGCAAAGGCAATACCGGCCAACGCGCGTACGCGTGAAAACACATCCATCATTCGCTAATATTCTTTGGACTTTAGAAAAATATCGAAGGTTTAGAAATTTTCTGATGGCGCGAACGATCTCATTGGCAACGATGATTTTTATTCGTTGTAAATATTTTTCCTTTTCTTTTTTCCTGTTTTTAAAGCCTTAAAATTACCTTTAAGAGTGCCCTTGGTTTTAAGAAACTTTGTGAACCTCTTGTTCATGATCCTCGGTCGAAACTATTTTTTTTTTGTCCTCATAAGAATGTCGATCGAGAAGAGCCCTTAATAAAAACTTTGTTACTTTCTTAATGAGTTCTAAGTTTTTTATAATTAATCATGCGGAACTTATATTCCATGATCAAGTCAATCCCCACTAGCGTAATTCATGAATTTAATAAAAACCATCCGTTATCATTAAAGAAAGGAGGGTACACATTGAAACGGTAATTAAATTCACCAGGTCTCGACATTAAATCTGGTTAATTTTTTTGTCTTCATCGTCATTGTTCGACATATGTTCATTATAAAGTAGAAAGGTGAATTCAAAAAGAAAAAGAACACTTTTTGCAATGGGTGTATCATCCGAACGATTAACTTTTAACGAAGTTTTACTTTTTTAAAAGTTATCACGTTGGGGATATATAATACATAATAACAAAAAAGAAAATAAAATAGTTTTTCGTTGGATGGACAACTTCGAGTTTAGTTAGATTCGTATAGTCGATAATGCTCACAAAGGATAATACGATGCAAGAGACGCGTGTGATTTGGTCTCTTTCACGCGTGCGCGTTTCTTTCTCTGTTTTTCTCTTTCCACTTCTCTTTTTCTCGGTCTCTCTTTTTCTCTCCCTCCCTTACTCACTCATTCTCTCTCTTTCTCTTTCTCCCATTCTCTCTACCTTTTTTCGTCTCATTGTCGTTGGTTGGAAAAGAATTGCGGGCCACGGGTCAACGAGGGTGGCACCATTTCTATTCATCCCGAAAAATAAAGGCGGATCCGATCGAGGATTCCAATGGCCATGAATATTTTATCTGCATAATATCCCGCGTCTCCACTCTGACCCTCCCACTCTTTCTTCTTCTCTTTATTCCGTTAGTAGTATCGCATAGATGATCCGGCAAAAGTTCCCGCGAGATTCGAAACTCTTATTGTATTTGAGGTATATAATGTGGACACGTTCCTAGGGTTTTATTTTTCTCCTTTCCCACGAAAGTGAGATATCCCGATTTCGCTGTCTTTATTTATCCACAAGATTACAGAGGATAAGCTATTTCCATATATAATCATTTCGATATTGTACAATCATCTTCGAATATACAAATTTACTGGCTCAATTTGAGAAAGAGGAAAAAGCGTAAACTAAAGGTAAATTGGCTTTCGCAGCGTGTTCAACTAAAAAAGTGAAATGAGTATGATTTTCTTTAGAAACGTCTTTCATTCATATTTGGCTCATCTCCAATGAAAATAACAGGCATGTGTTATTGGCCGGGGGCATACACTACACGGTTTCCGTCTACAAAGCTCCCCTTGCAACGTGAGTCGATCCTTTCGGTTTCCACGCGCGTGCAGGATCGCACAAAAAACTCACGATAAGATGACACCGTACCATAAGATGGTGTATGAGTGTATGTATACGTGCACGTGTACATGCACTCGATGAGTGTCTCGAGTGGGTTACATTGGGAGGGAGAGGGGAGAGGGAGAGAGAGCAGTAGCTCGCCGTACTAATAGCGTGCCTCCTTTTGCACGCATAGTGCGTTAGAGTCCGTTAGACTGTTTTGTAACGCGTGCGGCCCCTACACGCTCGAACCCACGTCTTCTTTTTCGTGTCCTCTAATTCCTCTTTCTCCTCCTTCTCTTGCTTCTCCTTCCTCCTTACTACCACCTCTTTTTCCTCCTCTTCCTCCATCTTCTCATCTTCTTCTTGTTCTTCGCGATCTTCGCCACAGACGACGAAACGACATCCTCCTGACTCTTCGTCTTCGTCGTTTTGTCTTAGTTTATTGTTAGAGAGACGCGTAGATCCATCACGAACGACCGGCGGATCTTAGTACGACGTCCTCCTCCTGCCTTTGGTTTTCGATATACTTCTTCGGCGTTTCGAAACTTCTAAGAGTGTCTTCTCTATCAAGGGATCAGTGATTTTCACAGAGTTTCTATGTACAGTGATAAGAGCACGTGAGTCTTCTGTGAATTACGTGCGGAGGTAATTAAGTAGGAGAAAGTTGTTCAGCGCTTGAGGGATATCTTAATTTGAGTTGTGATCGAAGGAATGCGAAGCTCTACGTAAGATGTTCGCGCGTGCCGCGTCTAAAAATAGAAAGAATAAAAGAAGCAAGGAACGAACGAACGAAGGAAAAGAAAGACAATCGTATTGATCTTTCGAAAGGGCTTTTGGAACGACATATACGATGGATTGATTAGTAGAATCGACCGATTTCAATTTCGTTCGATAACTTTTTGCCATTGCGTTTTTATCGTACCTTTGACAAATTTTATTTTATGAAATCAACGATAAGAAAGTTAGAGGTGAATGTCGAGAAATCGATCGAAGTGTGCAAATATGCAACTCGCTTGTATACAACGATTAAGTCGTTACATGTTAGTACTTTGAGGTTCTTCAACAGTGTCACTGTCGACGACATAACCATTTTGCTGAAGGTTATTGTTAGAGAGAGGCTGCGTGGACGAATTTGTAGACGAGCTTTGCGAATTTATTAGCTCTGAGCGCGTTGCGTTGCTCCTGGCAACCTCACGCGTGCTTTTCCACGGAAGTGTTTCTCTTCGATCGTTTATTTATTCATTCTCCTTTTGTTAGATGTTTAAAATATTCTCTCGACGTTGTTTTTAAGCAGTTTCTTATCATATTGAAGATTTAAAAGGGAATGAATATTTCGCTATTGATTAATGAAATTGAATAATAAAGTACTCGAAGTTTCATTAAATAACATCGGAGTTTATATACGTGCCATAATTTAAAAGGTACTTTTGAGGTGGAATAGAAATTTTGTTCATCCGCCACGGGATCGTCGAAAACGTGCCAAATTTCGAAGTCCCACGCGAACAAAATTGAAAATCAGGGCTCGGCGAGGGTAAGAGCAACGTTGGGATTTTCTCTGTTATCGCGCGAAAGGGCCATTTCGTTTCTCGTCGAATGACGAGAAAGAAGGTAGGAGGGAGAAAGAGTGGCCTAGTGCCGACCGATATAGGCCAGTTGTATCGAATGCTCGAGAGAGAAAGAGAGAAGGATGGAAAGAGAAGAAGGGACGGAGAATAAAAAACGAGAAATTAGGATTTCGAGGATGGGGGAGGAATTGGGAAACACGAAAAACCAATCGCAGGGGTACTCTAGAGAGGCTCTCAGGGAATAGTGGAGAGAAAGAGAAAAGGATGGAGAGAGTGGAAACCGGAAGAACGAATAGCAGGACGACGGGGTACAGGGAATGGTTGGAAGAGAGTGGCAACGAGGTGGAAAATGGGTGGCACGATGCAACAGTCGTCCTTTGAACAAATACGTTTGTGTCGAAGCGTATTCGCTGGAAAACGGTTATGCAAAAGATCGGACTAGGACGAGAAGCATGGGTTGGCGTTGGAAAAGAGAGCAACGAAATTCGTACGCCCGAATTACGTGTGCCCAATGTGTAAATGGTATTCCATCGATATCCAAATAGTTCTTTTTCTTTCTGTTTTTTCTCTTTCTTTTTTCCTCAATTATATTTTTCCTCTATTTCGATTCCCTTCGAAATCTGTTTTCTCGGAGAAGTTTCATTGTTCTGTGGAACTTTATTTTACCAAATTATAGGAAAAAATTATTAAGGAAATTCTAGACGACCTTGGTTAAGGTAGAAGAAAATTGCTTTGCTCATTTTTCTTCCTAACTAGTTTCTTTTTCTACAAATATTTAAATATATGAATCAGATAAGATACTCAGTAGATTAGTTTTAAACCTCAAATGTTCACATTTGTTTCGAGACATTATGTTGTACAATATACAGGAAGAAAATGTCGTACAAAAAGAACGGAGTACCTTATGTTGTCGTAACAGAGAATGAAGTGAGTCGTGCTTGCATCGCGATATCATGTCATCCATCGTGCTTACTGTTTCTCTTCGCGTGCATTCGCAATTTTATATCGCTGAATGTTGTGCGCGCGCACTGAAAGAAAATCTACTAGGCGATAAATCAATTTCACGTCGAGACTGCAAGTTATGACGTAATAAGTAGCAAGGTGCATACCGACAGGAAGAGGGGAAAAAGAGAAGAAAAGAGTGGGAGAGAGAAAGAGAGAGAGAGAAAGAGAGAGAGGGAGGGAGAGAGAAATGGAGAGAAGGAACGTAAGCCGTAGTCCATTGGCCGAGTGCTTTCGCATTTCTGAAGTAGAAAGCAACAATAAATTGCATAAACGACATAGCAAGCTTTATGGCTTTGTGCTGTTTTCGAAATTGCAAACGGTCGTCACGGAACTTTTCCCTTTCACCAACGGTGTCACGTTTAAATTGATCGACGCTTTAACTTCCCACTCTCGTTCACCATTTTGCACGTTGTATTTGTGATCGACGCTCAAAAAAAAAAAAAAACAAAAAACTATAATTTTTTTAACGTTTTTCATTTTAGTTTCTTTCGTTCGTCGATGAAGTAAGAATATTTAAGAAATTTGTCGAGCGTGGAATCTGAATGAAAAAATATTGAAACGGCGGGGAAGATTATGCTCGATTAAACGTAATCAGTTTCTTCTTGCCTGGTCGCAGGTGCATTTCGAGAAGAAAGAAGGAAATCGAAAAGAATCAAAAAGAAAGGAATGTCGTACATTCGTGAAATGAACTAGAATCGAGAAATGGAAAAAGAACAAAGAGAAAGTCGTATTCTCTTGAAAATTGGTTCACCGATTAAGGGCTCGACGAAATCCATAAAGCAAACTGACGACATCTTTCTAGATATCTTAGAGGCTGTGGATGTACGCATTTTCAAAACCGTTCTAGCTCGAGTTATTCTCCTCGTTCTCGTGCCAGTACTTAAGCTTCTCGTCGCACCATTTTCGTTTCTATTCTTCGCTCTCTTTCATCTCCAAAACCTTAATTAACTTTGGTGATTATGTATATCCTAGGACAGAAGGGCTTTGCTGGTTTCGTTGCGGGTGCTTCTGTTTTTGCCAGTACCGGTGCTACTGCGTTGAGCGAAAAAAAGTAAAGAGAGTGTGGGAGGTGACTAGAGGACCCAAGAGAGAAAGAGAAAGAGAAAGAGGGAGAGAGAGAGAGAAAGAGAGAGAGAGAGAGAGAGAAAGAGAAAGACATAGTTAAGACTTGCATCGTGTGCACTCGTCGCAGCTCCGTTCGTACACTTTCGTTATAAATAGCTTGCGAGCGAGGAACTACAAGAAATTTGACAGTTTGTGACGGTCCCTGGCACAGAAACGCGATACTATGTTTGTCCAAAGATGCTCGTATAATGTTATCGTTTGGACAACATTTAAATCAAAATATTTCTTCAATTCAAGTGGGGTTCGTCAAGAAGATATAGATTAATTTTACATATTGTTACGATCTTTATTTTCCCTTACGATCTTGCAAATAATCGACGCGTTAACTGAAGAACGTGCACCTGTGCGTTTGGATTTTAATTCGCTTCGAAACATCTTCTTATTCCAAAACAAGATAACCGACGTTCACGCATACCAACAGCTTCTAGAGATTTATGTATCTACTTGGAACGACTTTCACACTGTTAGACGGTAGGCACGCACGTTTCAACCCTCTGCTCTTCTACCCTTAACGGAACCCTTGAAAATGGCACTTCAGTGGCACACGAGGCAACCCCTCATCGTCTTTCTCTCGCTCCGTAGCTTAACAAGGGGATTAATTAATAATACCTTTCGGGGATAATTTGCGAGTCTCGTCTCGCATCAACGTTGTCATTGTTTCCGGTTGATGTCTCTTTCTCTCTTCTTCCTTCTCTTTAGTTTCCACCGACTCGACTCTTTACGCGACGCGTCAAAAAATCAAGCAAATGTCACTTTTTACAAACACAAATTCATGCCTCTTCGAAAAGCTCCGGGTCTGAGGAAAAAGACGAAAGGGAAGCATCGTTAAACGGCGCCACTTTACAACGGAGAGTTACGCGTTTAAGGGCTTTAATTTGTGGCCCGAGACTTTTATACCTTGAATTCGAGATCTTTGAAAAAGAAAGCTAGATAGAGAAAGAGAGAGAGAGAGAGAGAGAGAGAGAGAGAAAGAGAGAGAGAGAGAGAGAGAGAGAGAGAGAGAGAAAGAGAAAGAGAGCTTTTTTCGAACCACGCTAATTGGAATTAACCTTCGTGATTCTTTTTCCCTTCGCCTCAACGATACTTCGAGGAACTTTTCTTTGAAAAGGCGGCAAAAATTCGAAGAACTCTTTTGAGGTTCGATATTCGTATGATTCATTTTTCTTTAAAAATCCTCCTTCTCCAATGGCCTCGAATCGATCTCAGCGATCGATAATTCAACGCATAGCGTGTTAGGTATTTCTTTTATCCACTGAATGTAGGTAAGCGAAGGAAGCGCGGTATGTCAGTGAAAAGACCATCCTTTACAACGGCAATCGCGCGCGAAATGGATTCTATCGTATCACGACGAACATTCTACACGTTCAATTTAACGTTGTGCCCTCGAAGAAATATATACCAGAATAGATAGATAGATAGATAGATAGATAAGAAAGAGAGAGGGAGAGAGAGAGAGAGAAAGAAACCAAATAATTTTCCATGGCTCTTCATTCGACACATCGTTATACTGGCAAAGCGAATAAAAGAATCGATAGCTATTCGAAATCCCTTCGAGCGCTGAGAAATTAGTTGGTAATTAGTGAATTGCGATTAGATTTTTTGATTAAAACGAGTAATCGAACGATCGTCAAAAATTACGTATTTACAGTGAACCGTAACGCAGTCGACAGGATTATTTTGGAGAATGGAACGAAAATCGAAAATAGATTGGAGTATCTTCGTCGAGACGAAAACAATGGGGATATTCACGGTGACAATATTATTGTATCTAATTCGTGTACTGTAGTGTGTTTTTGTACGATCGAAAACATTGAGAGAACACCCAGGATTGTTTACAAGACAAGATTGTTTACCGACAAAAGCTTTGTAGTAGCTTTGTTGCTGGGTTACAAGGACTGTTCCGTTCAGACTCTCTACGAACGCGCACGAAGATACATATCCATGGAGATTCAACGACGATGCTTTTGAAATACGCATAAAGTTAAAAATGTTAACAAGTTTTGCGATGGATCGAAAGAACGAGGAAAAGGGAAGACGAAATTACGTTCACGAATGTAGCGTCTTCGAAGCACGTGCTTCGATGTTATTACACAATTTTGCGTTTTTCATGCGAGGATAGAAGAGGAGAAGAAAAAGAAGGGGTAGAAGGTATTACCGTGGGACATTATCGAAGTCCCTTTTAAACGAGTCGTGTGCGTAAACGTGCGTGCGTGTATGTACAAGGCTGGAACGAAAAGTATGCGGCACCGTGCAAGATGAAGGGGCCAAGAATCAGTGGCCTACCGAGTGAGAAAAAGTTGGACTCTTGCCAAAAGGCACGTCAGGAGTGTTGGCGAGTGTTGCTTACGTACTTGAGCTTCTGTGCGTTGCTGCCCGGCACCATTCTTTCAGGTTGGTACGCGAATTTTCCTTTTTTCTTTTCTTTCTTTTTTCTTTTTTCTTTTTTTTTCTTTTTTTTTCCTTTTCTTCCTTAGTCTTCGTTTACTCTTTAATACGAACATTCAGAGTTTCCGACCAAACGTCTATGAATCGTCGAAAATATTCTTGCCGCATGTGTATTCACGCTTACGTCCTATTTTCCACGTAGAAATACGTGTTCCCATCTCAGATATACAAAATAGAGATAAATTAAACGTATGAACGAGAGTTTAAAAGCAGCGCACTGGCCCGTAACGCAAATTGCGAGTGTTATTAACAATTACCGTGTAATTGTCTGGATTTGTAAGGAGAAATTAAATGCACATCCGTAGAGAGCTCGTGGACTTCTCTTTCGCTTTTCGACTTCTATATTGCATTAGCTATGAGGCGTACAAACGTCGTTCCTTTTACGAATCTTCGTGTCACGACTTTGGTCCTTGTACTGTCTGCTTCGTTGAAAGCCACAAAATCGATATTACTTTTTTTTTTCTTTTCTATTTTTAAGATATTACGTGTAACCGATATCTTCCTACGCACACGTTTCTTGCTAAGAACGTAAAGATTTCAAGGAACTAAAGCGAATGTAAAATACGTTGATGAGAATAAAAACCTTGAAGAATGTTGGCCGAATGTTAAGAATGGGGACCGATCGATACACCGTTTTATTTCTGAATGTATTTATTTTCGAAACGGACCACGTGTAGGTATATAAAGTTAAATATCAGTGACCGCGACACCTACACGGCTTTCTTTGTCGCTGTGTTTTTTCGAGGAACCCTCGCTCTTTATGGTACGCACGTGGTGCCATAAAGTTCACATATGCGTCCTTACATATTCCGTGTAGTTTCGAATGTATCAAAATGTACGAATGTTCCAGTTAAATCTGTGCCGATGAAAAAATTATCTGACATCTCAGTACAACTTTTTATTTCGCGTTCTCACTTTCTACGACGGGCGCGATTTCTTTCTACGAATATAATAATGATTTCAAAATACTATGATTTCTACAATTAAATTAGCGTTTTAGTTTAATTGATAATGAAAATATATGACAGAGTATCATTCGATTATTATTTCCGGTTGAGTATCACTTTACGTACTTTCGAAAATACGATTCTGTTTTAATTGGTTTCTTGAACCGAGAGCAGCAGTTGTATCGGTCTGCGAACTAAACATCTGTTTCTAGCGGTGTAAATGTTTACGATTCGATCGCGTTTGCTCGTGGCCAACGTGCTGTTGTATGAGGTCAGCATTTATTAAAGATTGAGAATGGTTTCGTAACGCTTCGGTATTCCCTTTTTTGTTTCCTTATTGAAATGTTATCATTAGATTCATTTAAAAGCGGACTAGTTATCTGTGCAATCGCGATCCGCGGATTAAAAGAGAAATATAAACGATTATAACTCTACTTGGCACGAACTCCCGAGCATTCCATTCAAACGAATAATCATATCTAAGTGGTCGAAGGAGATCCGACGCAAAACACGTTCTGCATTTAGAGACGGCTTACGAGATAAAGTACCGAAGAACAGACGTGGTGTGTATATGGTGGTGTATTTGAAACTTCGGCCCTGCTTGTAGACTTATTCGTCCGGACAAAAGCAGTGTGTTAAACGGAGCGTGTTTGGACGAAGTCTTAAGATTTATTAGCATATACAGATCGAACGTATGGTTCGAACCTAAGTCCGAGAGCTCTTTTATTTTATATTCTTTTATGTAAAGCTTCCTTTAATATGATCAATTGCATTTGAAAAGAAGGTGCTTCTTATTGTTAATTAATTATATTAACGATTGTACTCGCAAAGTTTCTCTGAATATTTTTATTAATGGGATATATGTATGAATCAGAAGAAAATACTTCAAAGTCATTTTAGGATACAGTAACGTCGTCTTTGTCGTCACCATTATAATTCCCTGCCAAGAGACAATGCTCAAATCCTAAACGGTCCGACCGAAAACAAAACGGGAACGTTACTTGTCTTCCGGAAACGCATCACGCGGTCTCTGGCGAGAAGAGGAATGACAAAGAGAGAGAGAGAGAGAGAGAGAGAGAGAGAGAGAGAGAGAGAGAGAGAGAGAGAGAGAGAGAGAAAGAGAGAGAGAGAGAGAGAGAGAGAGAGAGAGAGAGAGGGAGAGAGGGAGAGAGAGAGAGAGAGAAGACTGCCCTAGGTGCCGGCAGTTATTTACTCTTAGGACAATTTAGTGTAATTAATTAACCGGAGTTGCTAGGGTAAGCTAATTTATACTCATAGAATGATTCACTACCTTTCTCGAGCGTTCCCGAACAGCTCTTCCTATTCTGTTTCATATGTCACCTTTGATAATCTGATTTTACTAGATTTGAATTAGTAAAATCTCGATTTTTCATTTAACGATATTAGAAAAAAAAATCTTTTCAAAAATGATTCGTTGGAATTCTTACGATTCATTTTATACGTCGCATTGACTTGAAACAGATGTCACTTTTTGTTTTAAAATCTGGTGTTTAACAATTTTCGAACTATTAAGTAATGGTAAATTCCATGAACACTTATTTAGATGTTGCTTGCTTTCCTACTTGCTCGACAAGAAACGTTTCATGGTAAATCAGAACTTCGTCGCGTACATAAATTTACTTACGCACATGCACGCACACATATTATACATCTAACGTTTGTGTACATACATAGTTCGGACGAAGTACAGACGATAGTTACAATGCATTCGCTGAACTTCTGACGTCGTCAACGACTCGATAGAATTTCACGCCATCGTGGTAGACGACTTTGATTTCGTGAATTTGTGTAAATTTAAGGTATATGAATTCCTTACTAATTCGGAAATAATCATCTGAATTTCAAATTTTCCTTTGAATTTACTTCGTTGTTAATACGAATAATTCTTTGCTTTAATGATATTTGTGACGCACACGAACATACAAGAGTGTTTAGCTCCCTTTCGTCGAGAACATTTAGAACATTTTCTCACATTAAGAACTCCGTTGATAAATGGCTACTTTTTTCTCTCGACATGCGATGACAGATTCGTGTATCTGTTTTTCCAGATATGTTTCTCTCTCTCTCACACATACACACACACACACACACACACACACACACACACACACACACACACACTGATTCTCTGTAATAAAACGATATTTCTCTCTGTTTTTTTCTTTTTTAATAAGACACTTTAAATGATGTGAGAGATAGTATACATTTTTTACACGTTTAATAATAAAATCTACGAATTTAATAAAACTTATAATCGTTCTTCTTTTACTACTGGTATATTTAATATTATTTTCGTAAATAATGAATAATTATTATATATAATAATAAAGAAATAGTTTTCGATCTGTAGATCATTACGTTAAACCGATCGATTTATATTTATGATTAATTCGAAGTAAGTTTTATTAGTAGATAATCATCGTCAATCATGGGAAGTAATTTCAGTCCAATAACTGTTTCAATAAATGTAACTTTGGATTTAGTCAAATTCAACGAAGGAAAAAGAATACTACACTATGCTCACGAACGTACATACATATCTGCATTCGTAATCGTACGTTGTAATACATTTTTCGTTGATATTAAAGTGGTGGTGGATAGAGAGGAGGTAGGACATAGAGGGAGAATCGTTCAACTCAAGTGACGTCACAATGGATATTCAAAATTCAACGGATATTTTCACACTGCATTTTGGAGATTGAAAGCTTTGATATGGTTTTTAAAAAGTAGTGACGCTTTACGATCGGTAAACTTTTCGATTTTTGTTAAGTGAATTCCTATTGAAGTTTCAACAATGGGCCATGTATGTATGTATGTATGTACAAAATCATCTCGGCCTTTTATCTCGACAAACTGCGTTCAGCGACGACTAAACTAGCCGGATATTTTTTTTTTCTACCGAATCCATTACTCAACTAACAATTGTATTAATGATTAAAAAGCGTAGTTTAAGTTTAAAAAGCAAAGGTGAGTAAAAATCTTTAACGTTTCTTTTCAATTTATCTCTTTTTTTTTTCTTTTTTTCTTTTTTTTTTTTAATTGACCTCTCCCGACGAGGAGTATTCATAAGTTTTATCGTGTGATAATTAAATCTGTAGTAGTCGGTCTAAGTACGGCCTCGATAGAGCGCTATTTCTGGTCAATATAGAAGTTGAATCGGAAAAATCCATCTCGTGGCAAGGTATAAGAGCTCAGAACAAAATATCGGTTGAAATGCCGACAGAGATGAGATTGAACTTTCGACTCGATTCAACGCACTTCCGCTAGAATCGCAAATTACGAACTTCGATGCTGTTATATTCGGTTTTTTCAATAAAGCGTGGGAACGTAGAAGAGAAAATTTTTCGGTCTACTAGGATCGTTTGGTTCACGATGATATTTTTTTTCTTTGTCTATTATACATAATATATATATATATATATATATATATATATATATATATATATATATAAAAGCACTCAATTATATATATATATATATATATATATATATATATATATATATATATATATATATATATAAAACCACTCAATCCCAGTAAATCTTGTCCATATATGTGTGCATAAAGTTTACTCTGTCAGATTCCATCTATATGCGTTTGATCTTTGGTACTTGTTTGCCAGTCATGCAACATCGAAAGGAATATATAGATATATACTTTACATCTCGTCGAGGTGAACCTTATAAAATCGGAAATAGCTGATATCGAGTCGAATTCTCAGAGCGTATCAAGAAGGAACGATATTTCAGTTTTTCTTCCTTTTCTTGCACCATTTTCGCATTTAGTTTCCTCTCTTTATAGCACTTCCTTTCCTTTCCTTTTCCTTTTTCTTTTTTCCTACAGTGGAACAAACGTTCTCATAACTTCTCGGTAACCATGTGTGGATCGTTCTTCTCTTCTTGGTCGTGGATTTCTTTTATACGTATGTACATACATACACTGCCAGAGCGTTCGTATACAAACACACATACACTAGAGTATGTGCACAGAAGGGTATATGCACAGACGCGAGTCAATGCTGCACCGTAGATTTTTACAGGGCCGAAAGAAGTGAGGAGTAAGAGAGGGGGGGAGAGAGAGATAGAGGGAGGGAGAGAGAGAGAGAAAGAAAAAAAGAGGGAGAGAGATGGTAAAAGAAAGAGAAGAAGGAGGAATTCCTTCGGGTCGAGAAGAGAAACTTCTTCCCTCTACATCTCATCTTTCTCTTCTCCGTTTCCGTTTTGCAACTCCCGTTTCCGCTTTTGTTTCTCGCATTTCTTCCTTTATTCGCCATTTCTCAAAAGTTGGAGAGACCGGCTTTAGTCCAGTTTTATTAGCGCCATCCCCTATTTCGCTCTACCATCTCTCCTTTTTCCATCCTTTCCTCGAGCACGATCGAGCCTTTAAGAGCGCTCCGCGTCGCCTTTTAACCTAGCATCGTTTCACCATCGTCTTTCGTCCCTTCTTACCAACAAATTCTACGTGAGACACCTGCTTTTTGCGGCAGATTCATGGAGAAAATAGTTTCTTTTCGTCCTTTTTTTTTTTTTTTTTTTGTTTTTTTTTCGTTCTTTCCTTCTTACAAAATATAAGAGTACCTTTCAGGCGGATTAAAAATATTTTTCTATAAAGTTGGACCATGTTTATATGAGCATTTTTACTACGATAGATGTATTATAGACAGCTGGAAAATAATTCTAAATAAAGTACTCTAGTTTGATACATTAGAAATGATCTATGATACTTATTTATAGTTTTAATCGAGACTCATCAGAATCTATCAGTTTATAATTTTCAACTGAGAGTTTTTAGAATATAGGCAATAAATGTGAGAGATAGAGATAGATTGAAAGAAAAAGTTTACATACGTGTAGACAAGAGGAACGCACACGTGTCGAACACGCACTATGAGTCGAGAATGCTGCTATTTGTCGAGCGTGAAGAGTATTTCGCGATCGTCTTCTTGGAAATTCCATCTGGCTTCCTTCGTCTTCTTGACTTCCAGGAAGGTTCCACAAGTTACTGGTATTTGTGCGAGCGAGTCTATACTCAATTTGTGCGAACCTTTCGTGATGTTATTAAACGTGACGTATTTTCGTCATTTTTAAACAGTTCGAAAACATTAATAATCAGCCAAGCGTTAAAATAAATGTACAAATTATAGAAATAGATCCTTGAGGTATGAAAAATATATGTACGCGTAATTAAGAAAAAATTACTCGTAACATTATCACGTTAAAGTTTTTCAAAAATATTGATTTTTATCGTTCCATCCTAGTTTTTAAATCTATCACAAGTATGATTTTCTCACGTTAAATGGTTAAATTTAAAGATCGAACGAGTTGGTCGACGGTTCGTCTCACAGCGTATCGCGTCGCGGCGGCCTGGCGACTGGTAGCGCGCGACCACAGTTTACGAGCGGGACGTCGAAAATGTATGATACTCTCGGTGGTCCAGCGGAGCCGTAAACTTTCGTTCGTATTGTTTCGTGCGTCAGGAAATGGGGAGAAATTACGCGGCGGTGGTTTAAGGCTGTCGAATCTCGGCGGACTCGGGGAAAATATTGGCGGAACGTGCGTACTACACTTCGAAAGGGTGGTTTCGCGGTTTCCGCGAATGCGGGTTAACTCGAATAACTCATAAAGATTTTTATTTGAGTTTTACGTTCGACGAAGATACGTACTCGAAGTCACCTAATTCGTTCTTCTTTAATTCCCTTTGAACATGGCAATCGTATTGGTGTGTGCGTGTGTGTGCGCGCGCGCGTGCGCCCGCGCACGAAACGAAACTTGGACACGCGTCGTTACTCGTTACCCGAACCGAAATTTATTCTTGCTCTTCCCTCGTTCCATACGTAGGAACCATGGATTTAGATGCCATTCGTCATCCTGCAGTATGGCGTTTTCTCGCGTAGCGCATGTATCGTTCTTTAAAAGGACGCCATTGAGAGAGAGAGAGAGAGAGAGAGAGAGAGAGAGGGAGAAAGAGAGAGAGAGAGAGGGAGAAAAGAGAGAGAGAGAGAGAAAGAGAGGGAGAGAGAGAGAGAGAGAGAGAGAAAGAGAGAGAGAGAGAGAGAATGAGGCGCCAGAGAAATATGTCGACGGAAAGAGAAATGCCAAGATAATACCTTATTTTTTCTTTTCTGTCTTTCTTTTTTCCTTCTTCCTTTTTCTTTTTCTTTTTTTTTTTTGTACAAGAGGTAAAAACGATATTATCCTTTTCTTCATCTTTTCTCCTTCTTTATATCTCTCCTTTTTGTTTTTTCCCTTCCGTTTCAAAAGATACCGAGAAACCTGAAATATTTCTTTTGTTTCGGTTTTTTTTTGTTTAGTTCTTTGGAATAAGAAGAATTTTTAGTAAAGTGTGTCAGAAAGACGACGTAACAAAGTTAAGATTTAAAGCACGTAACCTACAAAACGTATACACCTGTATACCATACGTACGTATGCATGTGTTTGTACGTAAAGGAAAGGCGATTTGTTAGATGAATTATATTACATACGCGCGAAATATATTTCATTTCCATTCACGATAGCGGTAGCTTTCTGTCGATTAATCTAACGTTATCGGGAGCGTTGCAAGAACTTTCATGGAATTCAGGTTCGTGGTAACGCCAGGCTCAAGGGTGAATTTTAGTCATTTGTATAACGCGATTAGTGGATGCGTATACGGGCGTTATCTGTGCGCCAGGAGACTCTGCGAAGAGTCGGCAGGATTTCTCTCTCTCTCACTCTCTCTCACTCTCTCACTCTCTCACTCTCTCTCTCTCTCTCTCTCTCTCTCTCTCTCTCTCTCTCTCTCTCTCTCTTTCTCTCTCTCTTTCTCTCTCTCTCTCTCTCTCTCTCTCTCTCTCTCCCTCTCTTACTCTCACTGTATCTATCTATCTCTCTTTCCCTTTCTCTCTGCGCGTTTCTCTCCGTATGCATGTTTGCGAGAACGTTCGCGCGAATTCACGTCGTGGGGGAAGAGGAATAGTCGGATGGGCGTGCGACTACGCGTTGGATGAAGGATGTTGTTTATGCGAAATGGTCGATCCAGTAAATTACGATGTCAGTATATCGTTCTGCGCAGGTTCGTTTGACAATTCAGCGAACGTGCATTCTCACTTGACGTATGAGGATTTACCTGCTTGTATTTGTCGGATATTACCAAATGTTACACGCGTTCGCGAGATTTCCCTTTCTCTCTCTCTCTCTCTCTCTCTCTCTCTCTCTCTCTCTCTCTCTCTCTCTCTCTCTCTCTCTCTTTCTCTCTCTATCTTTCTCTCTCTCTCATTTTTTTTCTGTATCGTTTTTTTCCTCGTTATTTTTAATCGTTAATCGATCGAGTGCGAAAGTGTTAATATGCGTAGAAATATCGTCCGGTGATAAAACCTCTCTCTCTCTCTCTCTCTCTCTCTCTCTCTCTCTCTCTCTCTCTCTCTCTCTCTCTCTCTCTCTCTTTCTCTCTCTCTCTCTCTCTTTCTCTCTCTCTCTCTCTCTCTCTCTCTCTCTCTCTCTCTCTCTCTCTCTCTAACCTTCTGTTTTCGATTTTACGCTTCATCGATGCAAAACTCGTGTGTAGCTACTCTGAAAATGTAAGCAAAGGAAAAAAAAATAAAAGTTATAGGCTGGCGCGTCACTTTCTCAAGTATATTAGCGAAGTCACAGTCTCTCAGGTTTTATTACCAACTTTCCTTTCGAATCAATCCCTGTCAAACACCAATGGTATCGTCGCTCACGCTGATGATGATCGATGATGATGGAGAGACCGCTCGAAGGTATACTAACGAGAGAGCGATCCGAATAGACCGACAGCCATTTGAATGAGACCGGAGTTCGATGACTGCGTTCTAGAAACTCTTAGAGATTATGTAACACATATATGGTGGGAGGAAGCTTTCGAATTCCCCGGAAATTCTCTTCGCATTTCCGTTCGAAACTAACGATCAGTGCGCACCTTTTAACCTTCATTTCTGTGATATTAAGATGTCGGAATGTAGGACCGAGGAACCATTTTGTTTCAGAACCTGCTCATATACGCGAACTGTCCAAAGGAAATTCTCGTCGGAACGTCAACGATGCTACTAACGATTCCGTCGGCACGGATTTGCCCATTTTCGAGCCGACTGCTCCAAATGTTACGGGTTTCGTTGGGCAAACAGTGTATCTACCATGTCGAGTGCGAAAATTGGCCGACAAAGTGGTAAGTTTGTTCATCATTCGTTCATTAAAATGATACTATTATGTGCATTATTTATTTAAAAGAAAGATTTATTTTGATGTTTTTGATTAGTCTACATATAGTTATACATTAATCTACATATTAGTCTACATATACTGAGAAGGTCATTAAAAAAAATAACATTTGTACATGTTGAAAGCAGTAAAAAATGTATTGCTGAGGGATTCACTAAGTTGTCAAATTTCATAGCTTTTATATGATTTATTCTACGCATTTATGCATACTAAAAGGCCGACTTCGTGCATACTAACGCGCAGAATAGAGCAGCGTTCTCGAAGTTTTTAATTTGTGCTCTCTGCTTCAGCCGGTTGGTCTCTCGATGGGTTAGAATTTTCTCCACAATCGTCCGTACCCCAACGTTCTCTGAACTACTCCGCAGCTACGCGGATTAAGTTACCTTCAGTTGGCTGAATTAAAACGCTAATAACGAGCGACGATATTTATTGGATGGCTTTCACAGAGGTTCAAACCGAATCCTCTCGTTTTCTCTGTCCAATCTCTTCGTTCGTCTTTCCTTCTATTTCTCTCTCCCTTTTTTTCTCTTTCTCGTACTATCTCTTTCTCTCTCTTACCCTGCCCTTTACCGTTTTCTTCCTCCCTCCCTCTTTCCTCCCTATCTTTCTCTCTCTTTCTCTCTCTCTCTCTCTCTCTCTCTCTCTCTCTTTCTCTCTCTCTCTCTTTCTCTCTTTCTCTCTCTCTCTTTCTCTCTTTGCATCGCGGCTCGACTGAACTTTTACGGACCATCCAGAGATTCCAGTAGCAGCACCATTGTTTCCCAAACAGGGGTTCCTTACCACTTTTATGAGGGAGATTTTAGGTTTAGCTCGTCAGATAACTTTGGTGCGCTCATCGCTTAAACGGACTCGCTTCCATTACCTACCGTGTTTCCCACACTATTAACCCTTATTCACTTGCCACGCTTTGAATCAAGCGATTTTACTTTGGACAAAGGAGGATGCACTTTTTCTATAACTCCGTTAACTCGTACCATTTTTTTCTTCTCCCTTTTATCGTGAGAATCCCGATCGGACGTTTAGCCTGTTTTAATAGTGCAGTCTGCGTTTGATAAGCGAACATTAATATTCCCGTTGAATGTTCGAATTGTGTAAGAACGACGAACGATTAATAATATTTCGAGATTATTAAAGTTCGTATTTTGCAGTCAATACAAGAAAATCAACGAAAATATAATAAATGTTTTGATCGTTTTTCTACTCTCCGATCTCTCTGTAGAAATTTCGGCATAATGTTCGAGAGAACGTTAGCTTCCCTTCAACGTGAGATTAGTCTACTTACAGGAGTAGGCTTATTGAAGTTGATTAAACGGAGTGACGTAGGGAGGAAGGACGAGAAGAGTTAGTGGAGGATGAGGGTGGTTGGTGGGACGGGCGGTGGCAGCAGTAGCGGGCGAATGAAATACAGAGAGAGAGAGAGAGAATGAGAGAGATAGAGAGAGAGAGAGAGAATGAGATAGATAGATAGAGAGAGAGAGAGAGAGAGAGAGAATTCACCTCATAATCTTCGTAACAAGCGCCTTCTCCCGTCCTCTTCCAACGACGTTTTCTCAGTGAAGGGTCCTCTTCAATAAATCACGCGCCCAAGGCTTCGTGTAAACAGGACTGACTTAATAAATCTAATTATCTACGCCGAGGTGACTCTCAAGAAAAATAATTTATCGTTGAAAACATTCGATTCGCCGAATGATGTCGATTTTCAAATTAATACGATCGGTTTATCCTTAGACTTTCGTTCTTTAGAAATAATAATAGGCAATTTTAAATTATCACATTACTCATTATAACTCGTTATATTATCTTGATACGAGAGAAAGATATTTCTTATATATATATATTTGCAAGTTTAAATATTTCATTAAAGAAAACGTAGACATGATATTGTGTAACAAAAGGAGTAACATGTTTTCGTGTTAAATCGGGCTTACGGACTACTCAGGTGCTTTTCTCTGTAACATTTTCTCTCTCTTTCTCTTTCTCGTTGTTTCCCTGTTGATTTGCTTCTCTTCTTCGTCGAAGCTAAACTCGCTGTCTCGTTCTTACTCGTTCTCTCGATCTTTACCCTCTTTTCCTCTCGGAACTTCGTGCTCCTCGAAACTTCTTGATTAGAGATTTGATAGTGTTTTTTATGGTATTTCCCTTGGCGCAGAATTGAAGAGGGTAATCGCGATGAACTATCTTTAAATTCAGACTACTGAGGCCCCATTGGCGATCCTTCGAATGGTTCTCTTCTTTCCTTGCCGAGATTAAAATTCTTTAGAGTTCTTATCTACTTGGTATTTCCAGTGTATATAACGTATTAAATATTTACTACTACAGAATATAACTCGTTGAAACAATCGTATAATGTATTTAAATACGAGAAAGAGAGAGAGAGAGAGAGAGAGAAAGAGAAAGAGAGAAAGAGAGAAAGAGAGAGAGAGCATTTTTACTCTTGATTTTTAAATATGATCTTAATAATTCTCAACGTAATATTACGGCATATTTAAGAAAGTTTTATACGTAGAGAGCTTTTTAGTTTTCTCGTTTCGTTTTTAGATTCGTTTCTTGATTCATTTTTAACGTGGAGCGACGGACTCGATCAGTTGTCGATCTCTTCTACTCTTTAACTATGAAATTTAACTTCATTCTGTAGCATTAAAGAAACTACGAGGATTGTTCGACTACCAATAGTCGATTCTTTCACGACTCTTCTTCTTCCGTCGGGATTTTACGAGACTATTTTTCTCGCGCTACGAACTTCTCGATTGCTTTTATTAGAATGCGACTTGGAAAATTAACAGAGGCAACGAGTGAACTTGAGTTGTTTGTGAGACGAGATGATGCTTATATCTGCGAAAGCTCTTCTCGATCTTTTCCTCGTTACCGGCACGAATTTCTAAGATTTTCGATCTTGACGTTCACCATCAAACATCTCTTAAATTTGCAAGAGGAAGATAATCTTCTTCTTTTTAACTTGTACGTTGAAAACTTTAAATTATTATTATACGGTTGAAGTCACGAGTTTTCACGAACTGTTTAACGACGAATATTCCGTTTCCATATATATATATATATATATATATTTATATATATCCATATATATATCGGATTTAACGAGATGAAGCTTTAAGAATTTTTTTTTTTAAGAACTTAAAAGCACAGTCGATACGATCGGCAGTAGCAATTATCCTCGATACGGCCCACAGAGTAGTAGAGCTTCGTTAACAGCATTATCGAAGAAGCACTTTCGGTATTCTATGACTAAATTCGATCTGTTCGTGGAGGATGGACTAACTCGTTTGGAACAAGTTTGGAACATGTAACCACGAACGTGTACGTAGCAATTTGTTGAAGGTATTGTTACGGTCGGATAAGTCGATTCCGGAAAGTAATAAGTTTTCTGTCAATTTTGTTATACAATTAAATATAATTCGTTGTAATTTCTTTGGGTGTTGATTTATTGTACTCGTGATCTGAGAAAAAGGAATAGGATAAGTTTGAACTATGATCGAGGTAGTTTAATGATGACAACGAATGATAAATGTAGAAACTTGTTTCGATATATCGACCGAAGTTAAAGTAAAGCAATAATGAAATCCTTTCATGAATGGAAAGGTCCTTTGTAAAAGAGAGAAAAAAGAAGAAATGAGAGCTTCGAGGGTGTGGCGAACCATCGTCGTATACCATCATCGCATACTTAACGCGCTCATGCTTCCTTTGAACACGTAGGTAATACCGCGGTATAACGTGGTACCTGTTGCGTGGGCGTAAAGTATCACTTTGTATATGGCTTTTGAGATAGGATCGAAGCGTGTTTTCTATCGATGCATACCAGAAAGAAGAAGCTTTTTTAAACGCGACGCACGACTTGGCCCATCGAAAGAGATCGATTAAACGGTAGAACTTCCATTGCTCGTTGCAACATCGGAACAATATATCGCCGTACATACAACGATATTCGCAATTCAGTTGCAACGCTAGCAACAGTAACTGTAGCAGGGATAGGATCTATAGCAACGGTAACAGTAACAGCAACAGCATCAGTATCAGAGTATCAGCGGTGAAATTCGGGTTACTATTGATCGTAGTACGAATGCAACGCAAAACGCAAAGGTTTCGATAAAGAGAAAAGATTGAAAGGATATCGATATAGACCGACTCCATATTTTTCTTCTTTCATATCATAGCCTTTCCTATAACAATCATTTCGTGTTATTTCTTTTATGATCATGCTCGCACGCGTTATTCGACTGTAGAAATTGAATCACGAGAGCAGATTCCGTTCATCGAACAGAGAAAACCAATTTTACTTCTCCGTTGCATCCTTTCGCATTGTTCTATTGGAATATATGTTCCGGACGCGTACTATCTTCGTCCTTTTCCTTTTGGTCCACCTTCCTTGTTCTTCTATTTCTCATTCCTCGATATACCAAGTTCCTTCTTCTCTACAACACGTCCGGTGAGATTGTCGAAAGGGCTAGGACGAAGTTATATCGTATATATCCATTTCAAACAGCATAGCCACACGATATCGAACGCCTTTTAGTAATTGAGAGAAAGGTAAGAGCATTGGGATGGGCATTTCTCTCTCTCTCTCTCTCTCTCTCTCTCTCTCTCTCTCTATCTATCTATCTATCTATCTATCTATCTATCTATCTATCTATCTATCTATCTATCTATCTATCTATCTACCTACCTATCTATCTATCTATCTGTCTATCTTCTATCTATCTATCTATCTATCTATCTATCTATCTATCTATCTATCTATCTATCTATCTATCTATCTATCTATCTATCTATCTTTCTATCTATCTTTCTATCTATCTATCTATCTATCTATCTATCTATTTATTTATCTATCTTGGCAAAAAGAATCATTCGTGATTCGCGTTCTTTGATATCTTTGAAACTTACTTCAATATCTCTTTGATGAATCGTTAATGTATATAGTAGGTCAAGTAA